TCACGGTTATAACAACTTGTGGTTGATTTGATCTGTGTCGTTGCTGCCAAGGTGGCTAGTTTTTTTTGTTATATGCTGGATTTTCTTTTTAACCGACTTGGCGGCTGTATAAATTGGTTGAATAGAACACAGTGAATAAAGCTTCCAAGGTCTCTAGTAGCCTTGTCCACCAGCTACTCCGGCATCTAAAACGAAGGGACGGATTCCCACGCTGCACTCACCTGAGACTGCCGGGGCCAGTTCCCGGGCTGTGCAATTGGGGAGGTGGATGATGGCCGAGGCAGCCTCGTAAATCACCATCTCGTGCTTGTTGCGCAGGCAGCTTTCGATGAAATCAAAGAGGGGGTTGTCGTGCCTGCGGAGAAAAAGATACGGCTGCTTTTACAGGCCGCGTATCGTCGTCATGAATATCCCGGCGCTGCTGATTGGACAGGGGTGTGGTGGAATGGAGTCTGGATTACCAAGAGGGAGGGGCTGCTTCCCAGAGAACAAAGAGGCAGTGGAGGTTAGAATGTCTGCTAGGCAGGAACAGGGTTAGAACGGCTCCTCCTTAGCAGTTCACAAGGTGTATCTATTGTTATTGTTATTAAACTGGATGCCGTATTCCAAGGGTGGCCTTACCCAGGCCTTGTAAAGCAGTATTAATGCTTCACGTGATCTTGATTCTATCCCTCTGTTAAGACAGCCTAGAACTGCGTTGGCTACTCAATTCCATATACTCTATTGTTTCTATTATTTATTTATTATCAATCAATCAATCAATTAATTATTAATATTCTTTATTCATTCCATTATTCTATTCCATTAATTCTTATTCTATTCTATCCTCTATTCTATTCTATTCTACTCTAATCTATTCCATTCCATTCTCTAGTCCAGTCCAGTCTATTACTCTGTTATTCTATTCTATTCTACTCTACTCTACTCTACTCTACTCTACTCTATTCCATTCTATTCCTGTAATTCTATTCTATTCTATTCTATTCTATTCCATTCCATTCTGTAGTCCAGTCCAGTCTATTATTCTATTATTCTATTCTATTCTATTCTATCCTATCCCATCCCATCCCATCCCATCCCATCCCATCCCATCCCATCTTTTCTATTCTATTCTATTCTATTCTATTCTATTCTATTCTATTCTATTCTATTCTATTCTATTCTATTCTATTCTATTCTATTCTATCCTATCCCATCCCATCCCATCCCATCCCATCCCATCCCATATTTTCTATTCTATTCTATTCTATTCTATTCTATTCTATTCTATTCTATTCTATTCTATTCTATTCTATTCTACTCTACTCTACTCTACTCTACTCTACTCTACTCTACATTCTATCCTCTCCTCTCTTCTTCTATTGAATGTTACAGGGTCTCCTGCTTGAGCAGGGGCTTGGACTAGAAGACCTCCAAGGTCCCTTCCAATTCTCTTATTCCGTTATTTTCCTCTCCTCTCCTCTCCTCTCTTGTCTGCCAGTGAACAATCAGAAACCTGCCCCAGATCCAGTAGCCTCCGTCCTGTTCCCTAGATCCATTCCAAGATGGAACGCCCTGCCAAATCCCCGGATCTCCTTACCCCTCCTCGGACTCCTTCAGGAGACGACTGGCAATTCGGATCAGCATGCAGTAGGCAAACTGGGACTTCAATCCGGATCTGGTGAATTTGTTCAGCATCTTGGAAACGGCGAGGCGGTCGTTTTTTCTCAGGTGGTAGAGCAAACCGAGAGCGTGGTACTGCAGAGAAGAAAAAGCAAAGAGGATCTGGGTTGATTTGTATCCTTCTGCTGAGGTGACCGGGGTCAACTCAAAGCCGGAGAAAGGTTGAAGGAGACCTCAACAAGTAGCAGCTTCTCGCATCCGCATCCTGAGGGGGGGGGGACTGCCCTGGAAGGTGTGAACGCAGCTCCTCCACCTGTGGCCTTTCCTGACTGGGTGATGACAGCCCCCGCGATTCCTAGCCTTCTCTGAGGATAAGGAGAGGTGTAGACCGACAACCAAGAGCTGCGATGGCGCAGGGGTTGGAGTGCAGGATTTGCAGGCAAACTCTGCCCACAGCCAAGGGTTCGATCCTGACCGGCTCAAGGTTGACTCAGCCGTCCGTCCTTCCCAGTTTGGTAAAATGAGGACCCAGATTGTTGGGGGCAACAGGCTGACTCTGTAAACCGCTCAGAGAGGGGTGTAAAGTTCTGTGAAGCGGTATGTAAGCCTAAGTGCTGGTGTTATTGGTATCTATATCTATCCATAATCTCTCTATCTCTCTATCTATCATCCATCCATCCATCCATCCATCCATCCATCCATCCATCCA